TACAGATAGTCAGACTACTCGATTTTATGTTAAAAGGGCTTGCCATAGGAGGAGAAGTTGTGGATCCTCACTAATTAGTGGTCTGTTTGTTAAGAAGTCTAGTACCCAGTTGCAAATGGAGGGGCTTAGTTCTAGTGTGAATAGTTTCTCCATCAGGGTTTGGGGGATCATGGTGTTGAAGGCGGATGTGAAGTCCACAAAGAGCATACGGACGTAAGAGTCTTTCTGCTCCAGGTGGTTGAGCGCAGTGTGGACCACAGAGGAGATGGCATCCTCTGTTGATCGGTTCTCGCAGTATGCATACTGATGAGGGTCCTCGTTGATGTTGATTGTTGTTCTGATGTGAGTCATGACCAGTTTTTTGAAGCATTTAGTGACTATCGGGGTGAGGGCCACTGGCCGATAGTCATTCAGACTAGTCACTCTAGAGCCTTTTGGGACTGGGATGATGGTGGCAGTCTTCAGGCAGGTGGGAACTGTCTCCAGGGTAAGTGAGGTGTTGAAGATGTCTGCCAGCACCTCGCAGAGCTGATCGGCACAGTCTTTCAACACTTTTCCGGGGATGTTGTCCCCAGATACGTCGCTTCACCGTATAAGTCGCATCTATTATGCGTCACCGCTGACGTGTCGTGTTTGTTACGCATCACCGCTGACAACCCGTAAACGTGGGCCAGTGTACCAAAAATTGTTTGGTTGCCAAATGGTGGCCATGGGAGCATGCATGGGAGGACTTTAATGAGAATTTAACAAGATAAACACTTGAAAACAATTATTTGTTTGCTTGAAGTTATAGTAAAGGTGTGTAACAGTTCAACTTTTCCTTAATAAATACACTTTAATGGTCAAATCAGCTGCATTTCACCTGGGCGGTGCGGCAAAATGCAGCTGATTTGACATTTGCTCCACGAGTTCCGGAGCGAGACAAAGGTGGCCTGGAACGGCAAGCCATTAGCCACTTTACCTATTAATGAGACATTTGGCTTGCCATAATAGTCGAGGGCCCTCTAGTGGCTGAAAATGGTAGTGTTCAATATTTTCCATGTCAGAATGAATGAAATCATCAGATCTCTGCCAAAAATTGGGTTAGAAATATGGGGAAAAAAACAAATACATCGCTTCGCTGTATAAGTCGCAGGCATGCTAATTTATGCAAAAAACTGCGAACTTATACAGTGAAAATTACAGTCGGCCGGTCGCTCGATAGATGCATAGATAGATATTGTTCATTACCCCTTATGAATGCTGATTTTACTGATGACTATACGCAACTGAACATGGTAGTTGTAAAAGACTGTATATGCTTTATGTACCTCCGTGCACGGAGGGTTATGTCTGGTAGAAACACAAGAAATGCACACAATGATATAATTACAGCAGAAGTGGATTGTCTCCGGGTGTATTATTTACAGTATTTGAGTTGGAAATAAAAGCACATGCTGCTGCAGCTGGTGGTGGTTAGGGTATTCTGAGAGGAAACCAATTATGCTAAATGGTAGTTTACCTCTTTCCCTTTTGTGTCACCATTTTCAATCCACTCCACTGTGACACTCTCATTGTCCTCATTTAAAGATGTCACCATTGCCTGATGAATGCGTCCTGTAAAAGAAAATAAAAAAAAATTCCAACCAAGGGAATTTAAACATCAGAGCTGCAGAAAGGGACTGTTTAAACTTTTAGAGCCAAAATAAGTTTATTTTTTTACAATACTGGTGATGACAGATTTTACCAAACTAAATAAAACAAATAATTGCCTTGCAAGTGCTGCACACTACTTTACAATTTGAAGAGATAAGAAAATAGTATACCGGTAACTAAATAAAATTGAACACAGTTCATTGTGTAGAAGCAGAAAAAAGCTTCTGTGTTTAGTAAAATATATATATATATATATATATATATATATATATATATATATTACTACTAAAAATAAAAATATTTTGCACATTTGGGGATAATCAAATCCAAGTAATGTGAGAGGTGAGATTTGTTCTGGGTCTAATCTCAGTAAGTTCTGACCATCAAGACTGATTCATGACCATTACAGCCACAGATAACCATGACAACCACAGCTGCTGCTGGCCCACAAGCTTCTCTGTGTGCAGACTGATAACAGCTGTAAAATGCCTCTTTAGTCCCTCCACATTTGCCTGTGTAGATTTTACTGCTTGCTGGAAGTTTTCATCACAGCCCAATAAAACATCATGTTCCAGTATCCATTATTCAGAAATACTTTGGGAGCTAACAAGCAGAGATGCTTCAGCACTCTGAACTGCTCCACTTCTTACTGATTTATGAAAACATTTTACAATGCACAAATAGTGGTCTGCCTTTCAGACATGTCAGTAAACCAGAGGCTGAAACTCTTTTAATGGCATCAGCATGCCGCTGCTTTATTTTTATATGTTGTTAGTTACATTATAACAATTATTATAGCGAGCTTTAATTTAAGCAGCATTATTTGTGTTTTAAAATAAAAGCAACAAGTTTACCGGTATGTCACATATTTTATTTGAATATGGTTATACTGTGAAACCATAGTATTTTTGTTCAGGGTTATGCTGAATCTCATGACGGCCTGCACCTATTGGATGGTGACAGTTCATTCAGCTGCCCAGTCAGACAGCAGATTTTGAAGGTTTCGACTCTAGTTTATTTGGCATGTTCTTCAGAACAAAAGTATGAGCCTTAAAAGCAAGACTAAATAGATTACCACATTATATTTCATTATTTTCAGTCTTCATGATCCGTTAGCTCTTAACTGAGTATGTGTTGAGAATGACTGTCAACTACCACCATACCAAATTTTAGCTCACCATCTGATTCGATGAGTTATAAGCATTTTTGTGTACTCTAAAATCACCAGGCTGTGGCAGCCATCTTGAACTGGGTTAGCTCCAGAAGTTAATTATCTGTAAATGCTCATATAGTGATTACTTAATAATAAAGATTCATTAAAATCCAAACAGTAGTTAAGGGAAATAAAAAGAACTGATTCAAATAGTTCATGGAAATGTTTTTAAAACATCAAATAATTAGTTAGTTCTCAAAAGATGTTAGTGATCAGTCTCAGTTACTACAACTCCAAATTTCAGCTCAATATTTCCGAGACTGATGTGTTATAGCAAGTTCTTATCTTTATCTTAATTTCATGCACTGTGTTAATCATAAATAAGGAAGCTGCATGTGCAAATTATAAAACTGGGTGTGTATCATCGGTGTGGTCCAGGCGCATGCTGCTTTACCAATTCATCAATAATCCTTTTGCCCAAATACAGAGCTTCAGACAGGTTTCAAGTTCACACCATATGTTCAGTGGCTGACACAGTATACTTACATGCTCCAGATGCACTGCTGGAGAGTAGTGCACTATGAGTTTTATAAACTGCCAGTCTTGTTCACACAAATACACATTTTATCCTTATTAGTAACAAAATCTGAAATACTGTCACAACTGATTTTCTATAAGTTAGTGTAACTCTCCAACACTGTAATACTTATATAAAATGGGTATGTCTACACCTCTTGGATGAGCTAAAACTTTTCTCCAAGCTGTGCTAAGCCTGTGAAACAAACGAAGCCTTCAGTTACACAGAATCAGAAATCTATTACCAGTCATATACACATGCCAGCATATACCTGGCTGAGAAATGCAGTTGACAAACACTAACTTTTCGATGAGTTACCTTAATTTCTGGACTATTGAGCACACCTGAATATAAACCGCGCCCACAAAAAAAAAAAAATTGTACATATATAAGGCTGCACTTGTCTCAAAGCCACAACCAGTTTTGGTAAACAACTTCTCGCTGCTAGTCATCCAATAAATTTTGTAAAGATTATATGCATAACTGAAGCTATTTGCTTTATGTGTAGATCT